CCGGGAGCTGCACAGGCTTGGTCCCCGGCGTGACTCCATGTCGTGCCGGGAGGGCTGGTGCTATCAGCCTCCAAGCCAGTGAGGACAACACTCTTCAGACAAAAGGTTTCCTAAAGTAAAAGCTAGTAAACAAACAAACTCCCTCCCGGCGATCAATGCAATTTGCTCAAACGTTAAGTAGCGTTTTAAAAATGGAAAATGTAGGCGCAGTTTGGGGCTCACTAGACTGCTCAGAAACTGGCCAGTTCAAGCCACACAGACTTTCTCCGACATAAAGAGGAACCACGGGAAATGTGCATTCTTGTTTTTTGTTTTTTTTAATCTTCACCCAAGGATACTTTTTTCCATTGATTTGTTTTTTAGAGAGAGTGGAAGGGGGGGAGGAGAAGAGAGAGAGAAAACAGAGACATTGACTGGGAGTGGTTGCCTCCTGCACCTGCCCCGACTGGAGTCGGGGATCGAACCTGCAACCCAGGCACGTGCCCCTGACCAGGATCCAACCCGAGGCCCTTCGGTGCGCAGGCCGACGCTCTAACCACTGGGCAACCCCAGCCAGGGCAGAAATGTGCATTCTTAACAAGAGGTGAGGACCCATTGCTGGCTACACAAGCAGTCTCGACGCTCTGGTTCAACTCCACACACAGAAAAGAAAGGCAAGAAGGGATAGGGGAAGAAAACAGGCATCCGAGGGAAAGCACCGCAGAAGGGTATTCACGGTAATGAAACTTCTGCAAGGGCGTTTGTTAGGCCCACACCTCGCAGTGGAGCCCACCCAGCCTTCAGCACAAGGGGCTTCGCGAACACCCCGGGAACCTTAGGTACTGTGGGGAAAGAGAAAGCCTACTATAACGACTAATTCTGAAATAAGACCAAACTAGATACACTGGGATCCTGAAAACCTATTCACTGTGTTCAAAAATTAACATTTACTATGTATTTGGCACAAATTATGAGGCCTTTAACTTATGGTCTTTAATTATGATAAAGAGTTGGATTTTAGGACAAAATAGTCTTTTTCCCCTCACATTTCTATAAAGTGAAATTAGTATTGAAATGTAAAACTGTACTTCACTATATCACCTTATAAATAAATATAGAAATAAAAAAGCATTAAAATATTTTCTGCTTGCTTATGTAGTACAGAAAAAAGTCAAAATTGGTCTTTATTACTGAATTTTTCTTTCTAAATTTAAGAGATAATTTGACTTTATGCACTTCTTATATAGCCTGGCTTTTTAAAACACACACACTTCCCCTATGTAAGTAACAGAGCAACAGTGCTTTGTTACAGAGATGAGGTCTGGCTGTACTTCTGAGGACCTAACCTACTGCAGTGTCTATTTTCTCTGTTAAAATCCAAATTGGCTGTTTTCAAAGTGCTTTATTATCACCATACAATAAATTCTATGTTGTAATAATATACAAATTCACCTAAAACTTAAAAGACAAACATCTTTTAAGCACTTTATTTTCTAGAAATCCCAAATTCTTCCTTCTACAAGTTTAGGAAACTTAAAGTACAATTTTATTTTATTTTTTGTTACACTTGACTAGTGTTCAAATATCAGATTAAATTTTAAAACAAGACATACTAAGGAATCTAATTAAATCCCAACTCTAAATAAAATAGCAATGTAACAGTGACGAGGCCCGATGTTTGACCAGTACGCTCTGCATTCGGTTAGTAAAGACTTAGGAATTAAGCAGACTCACCTCCCAAGGCTGCTGCGAATAGGACACGAAATAATTGATGCAAAGCCCTTGCCCAGCCCCCGGCCCACAGTGAGGCTCAGAAGATTGTTATGAAGTGGACTGTCATCCTGAAACAGACCTTACACTGACGGCAGTAAAATTTCTCATCCAGCCTGGCCGGCGTGGCTCAGCGGTTGAGCATCGACCTGGGATCCAGGAGATCGAGGTTGGATTCCCGGTCAGGGCACATGCCTGGGTTGCTGGCTCCATCCCCAGCGGGGGGCGTGCAGGAGGCAGCCGATCAATGACTCTCATCATTGATGTTTCTCTCTCTCTCCCTCTCCCTTCCTCTCTCTAAAATCAATAAAGATATATTTTTAAAAAATTCTCATTCAGCAGCTCAGCCAATGACCATGTAAACGATGAGGCTCCATGAAACAATGAAGTGACAGTGCAGTGAGCTCCTCCGCTATCTGCAAGCGCTATGAATGGAGGCGCCTGCATGTGACATCTCCTGTGGGGGTGCTAATGTTCTCGAGTTTTCAGCTGTTTGCTTTTGCCCGATGCAGCACAACCTCGCCATGCAGAATGGGAAACTGGACGGAAGCCCCTTGGACGGGGGGTCACAGCAAGCCCCGTTCACGCCTCCTAACACCCCGGATCCAAGGAGTCCCCCGAATCCAGAAAACATCGCACCAGGTAATGCGCCGCCTTACGGACAGAACATAAGGTTGCTGCACGTTTAGACGTGTGGCTCTAGTCACTCGGCTCCTTTGGTAAATGGAATGAAAGTGACAGCTGGCTTCATTAGGGTCAAAACAGGCAAAAGCAGGTTTACAATTGTGAGCACGCAAAAGACAGAGTTTGCTCTTGCAGTTTTATTTATCAATTACTGTGTTTTCCCTGTGAACCACTGTAGACCCACTTTTGCCCACCCTGTATTTGTTTGTGGGTAAGTTCAAGGCCAATGTAAAGGTTTAGGCCTAAGGAGTCATTCGGAACATTGACGGTGGTCCTATGTTCCCTCAGACGGCCCGTTGCATTTGCGGGAAAGTACCTTTTACATTAAACATGGAGTCATGTGTAATTATATTGAAATTCTATTTGTATAAAACTGTACAGTGTGTGAAGTGCTATGACATATATTTGTCTCCCTTAATTTCACAATAACTCCATGGCACTTTTATTACAATCTGCATTTTACAAATTAAGAAACTGAGGTACGAGTGGCTATGCATCCATACTGACTGATGATGATGAATTAAATCCAGGTCTGGTACCAGGTTTACAGTTATGTGATCATTCTGTCTACGGGTGAAGACAAACGAGGGGAAAATACACAAAAATAAAACAATTGTGTTAGGGCAGTGGGATTTTAAGAAACTTTTGAAAATACAAAATTTAAAAATATCGAGTCTTGCATGCCCGACCCCTGATCAACTTTAGGAAAGGAAAACGAAATAAAATGCGGTGGCAGTGACAGTGGAGTTCTGGGTACTGTACAGAGGACAGACGCAGGAAAGTCCAGCCTGGTCTCTTGGGAAGACAGCAGCGGCCACACAGAGGAGGTCGTCTCAAGCTGAGGCCTAAATAGGAAATGGCCGGGGACAAGAACTGCCGAGGGCAGGCCCAGGAATCTCATGGACAGTAGGGAGGCATGAGGGGCAGAGCCACAGCTCTGGATCGTAAAAGGTGAGAGAATAACGCCAGGAGGTGAGGCTGGACAGGTCGGTGGGACGGGTGTGTCCTGCTGAGTGACTGAGATTCCTGTCCCGGGGCAGTGAGTGACACCATCAGGTTTTCCGGTCGTAGGTCACTGGAGCAGCGGAGGGGAGGGTGCCTGGCCTGGGAGGGGCTGGGAGCTGAAGGCTGAGCGCGAAGGCTCCTATGAAAGGCCAGGCAGGAGGCGGCAGGGCCTGACCCGGGCAGTCCTGAGGGAAATGCGGAGGACAGAGGGCGTTTTCTAGAATAAAGTTCCCAATATTGTCTTCGCAAATCACTTCCATAGATTTGTAAGCAGTGCCTGAGACTGACTGAGCCAGATCTCTGGAGGGAAACCCTCAGCATGTGGGTCCCTACCAACGTTTCAAATAGGCACCCGAGGTGGCTCGGAAGCGGAGTCTGAGCGCCGCTGTTCGGAAGTCCTCCAGCAGTGTGGGCGTGATACTTAGCGGCTGGTTGCGGGAATGAGGGGCGCCTGGGACAATGCTGTCTTGGCGCCTGAGGGCAGAGGGATGCTCACATCTGCTGAGAGAGCGGTTTGTTTGAAAAATTTCCACACAGGAAAAGAAACAGGGTGTATTAGCAAACGGCTGCACCCAGGTCTAAGAGCGCAGGGGCAGTAATACTCACTGCGACAGATACAGAGGGTGCTGGGGGAGAAGGGCCTGAAGGTCAAAACTCAAGCTTGGAATCAGCGATGTGTAGGTGACCAGTAGAGCCAGGGACAGAAATGAAATTCTCGGGCGGAGTGTATAGCATAGATAAAGAGCGCCCAGGGACACCAGTGTTTGAGGGGCAGGCCAGGAAAAGAAGCTTTAAAAAGAGGCTCCTGTTAGATGCTGGAGGCCGTGAGAAGAAAGGTAAAGTGCCACACGAAAGAACTACCGAGAGGCGGACTATGGAGTGTAAAGGAAGGACAGGCCAGGTTGGACAGAAGGAGGCAGAGGCTGTTTTGGAGACAGCAGAGAGCACAGGAGCGGAGAGCGGGAGGGCTCCGGCGGGAGGCCTGGGCGCAGGGCCTGCCTCCCGGAGCAGAGAATTGCAGGAAGGACACGGTGGGTGGTGTGGCCATGTGCGCGGAGAGTGCAGGGCTGTGCCCTGAGGACTTAGACCATGCACTCACTGTGTGTGAGAGCGGTTTATAGTTTATGTCACAGTTTGAGTGATTTTTAAACGGCACTTACAGAAACTGTCTCCCTCCTGCGAGAGGAGCCGGGGAGGAGGTGAGACCAGATGCAGAAGAGCAGTTAGGAAGGAAATCTTCAGGAACCAGGTCAACGCAGGAGGGACACAGCAGGGACTGAGCAGAGCAGGGCCTCACGAGGGAGTGCAAATCCCTTCACCACTTTGAAGCTTAAACAGCTCGCTCAGCACTTAGAGACAAGAGGGGGCAGCGCCTCCAGCAAATCAGCTCCAAGACAGGGACGCTTTGTCTTCACCGCTATTTCCACACAGACACTTGATATATATTTTCAAATTCATTCATTAATTATGATATCTAAAGCCTATAAATTAATGGGAGGGGCCCAATTTTTAAAAATTAAATGAATAGTTGCACTGAACAATGTATACTAAGATAGGGGTTCCTTTCGAAAATTCCTTTAAAGGGGCTACCGCATGTCTAACACTTTCAGGCTACTCATTTCCGAGAAGTCATACAAAGGATGCCTTCTTTGTAAACTTACTTTTAGGCAAAACGTCAGGTGGAGTTTCACAACTCTCAGGGACTGTGTTTACCTATTCTCGCTATATTTTTCCAAAGGATATTCCGGGCCACTGAAGGAAATTCCTCCTGAAAGATTCAACACCACAGCTGTCCCCAAGTACTACCAGTCGCCCTGGGAGCAGGCCATTAGCAGTGATCCGGAGCTTCTAGAGGCTTTATACCCTAAATTGTTCAAGCCCGAGGGGAAGGCAGAGCTGCCTGATTACAGGAGCTTCAACAGGTAACTCAGTTATCCTGGGCGGCGGGTTGGCCTGTGCTATCCTGGTCTTTAGGTCACGGACAGAGAACTGAATCCTCTGACAGAAAACCCCTTAGCTAGGGTGTGCGAGGAGGAGGGGTCCAAATATTCCAAGCTTTTAGTTGGGAACTCTGAAGGCTATACCATTGGAATAAAGGTGAACGAGAGGCATGCCAACGTTCATGACAATAAGTGCGTGGGCCGATCCACAGTCGTAGACTGGATAAAGGTCACCTCCTCTAAACCAAACTGCTTGCCAGGACTAAAGTAAATCCTCTCTCCAAGAAAGATGACACCACTTAGAGACTCTAATTATCTCTACAGTTTTTATACACAACGTTCATCAGTCAATTCAGAATTACCGGGCATACCTGAGACAAGACCAAATGACTAAAAGTGAAGAGAAAAATAATAAATGAAAGAAACAGACACACAAAAGATCCCGCTACTGGAACGGCCAGCTGACTGGGAATGCTTTTTGAAAGGGTTAAATGGAAATCCTATAAAAAACAAAAATACAGCAACTGTAACTGAGAAGTTAAAATACCAAGTCACTGGGTCCATGTAAAACTCACAGGAAACACAAAGGACAGAGAAACGCTAAAACAGACGAAGGGAATACAGTCTGTACAATTCAGTCTGTGGGAAACCACAGGGGACAGATGATCTGGGTTCTTCAATAAATAACATGTGAGGAAGTTTCGACAGGGATATCTGTAATACAAAAAACCTTTGAGAGACGTAATTTTAAAAGACAGGCAAAAGGAAACCATTGCATTCAGAGACGCACACTTGAGTTATTAACATAGAAAGGTTTTGAAAAAATCTTTTATAAATTGATCTTATCATGAAAGTCAAAATAAGGTCAACCATTGGGGCAGGAGAGGTTGCGATGGGCCGCACAGGGTCAGTGCTCCTGTAGAGACTCAGCATGCGTGATGACAAGGTGTTCGCTTTAGAATAAGCTGCTGTACATGCGTATGAGGTTTTCTGTACTTGTGTGATATTTCATAATAGAAATGTTTTTAAAAATTAAATACATAGATTTCATGGCAGATTCAACACAGCTGAAGAAAGAATTCAAAAGTGGATGGTGACAATGTCCAAACCGGAGCACAGAGGAGACAGGGATTAAAATGCAGGAAAATAGCAGAAGACCCACTTGGAAATGAAGTGCCAACGTATGGGTGTCGTTAGAGTCTCAGGAAGGAATGAGGCAGAATAAGGCAGAAGCACTATCTGAAGAATTAGTGGCCAAGAATTTTTCAAAATTGACAAAAGACATCAGACCTCAGATCCAAGAAGTACTATGAGAGCCAGTCAACCACACGAAGACACAGGGCTGCAAATGGGCTGAAAACCAAGTCAATGAGAACATCTCAAAGCTCGTGGGATGACACCTTGAAGGTCGGGAAATCAATAACTGCTAGCCTGTGAGTCTATATCCAGGGAAAATACTCTTTAAAGGTAAAAGTTAAAATTAAAAACACATATGCTTATTTTCAGACAAAGGTGTTGTTTTAATAAGCAAAAGTTGTAGGTACAAAAAAGGAAAAATAAAACTGTCCTTGTTCACAAATGACATGATTATGTCCACAGGAAACTCAAAAGAAGCTACAGGTTAGTAATTAGAATCAGCATAGAAATTAATGATATTTTTATATACCCACACAAAAAATTAGAAAATAAATAATATTTGTCATCTTTTACCTTATGATTTATACACTTTTAAAAATGTATCTTATACTTCAATAAATTTTTATTTTAAAAAATCACATAGGCAAAGTAATCTCAATAGTTATCTTGGTCTTTATAAATTAAATGTGATAAAAGCCACTCTTTGAATCAGTCCAGAACACATTCCAATAATTTTAAAAAGGTTAAAATAATTTCTAGGTACAAAGTGGGTTAATATCTTTCCTGCTATAGGTTATTTAATGGAATTTTATTTTATCAAACTACTCAAAGTTATGAGAAAATAACTTGACTAGAAATTTAGTTCCTCACACAACTATTATACATTTTAAAAATAAAATATAATAAGTACAAGTTTTCCTTCTCTTTCTTAAATAATTCAATGTTATTATATTAAGACTTCATTCTAATACATGTTTGTTTGTTTTTTATTTTTGCAAAAACAAATAAGAGAGAAAGAGAGAGAGAGAGAAGTAGTTTCCAAATATCCCCAAAGTCCTTTGCAAAGAATAATATAATATTTATTGGTGGCTCCACAATATTTAATAATCATTAGATGTTGTTAGTGGAGTGTAGAAGGCGAGAGGCAGTCTAGCAGCATTCAGCAGGGACAATGACTGAATGAGAAATGGCTCCCAAGTCTAATCATGATTTCAAAACAGCCCACAGTTACTCCAACTTTGTGCTCCTGTACTCGTTTTGAATGTACTATTGTAACAAGGGAGGGAAATTAAACTGGAAGCAAGGTTTCCAGCTCTGTTTCAGAAAGCTGTGTCACTTAACTCTCCTTGTATTAATTTCCTTGTCTGTAAAATAAATTCTATGATTATATGACTAAAGTACCTTTAAATATATCACACATATTAGGTATTTAGTTGTGTAACTTATTTTAATTTTTTATAATCATCTTACAAAATTCTTTACCTTATAGAATAATCAGTATTAAGGGTGTATTATAAGTCCAGCACTATTAATTAGCACAAATGCAATTCCATTACTGATCAATCAAAATAAACAAGAAAGCACCTATTAATTGTGAATCTGAGTGGAACAGGCTTCTTACTCAGTCCATAGAGGACCAAGTGTAAAATCACATTAAGTCAGATCTATGTTGAAGAAATGTTGTGGGAATTATAGGGATGCAGGGTTAGCTCCTGGTAGACTAGTTCAAATCTTTTAGTGGAAATTTTTGCTTCACTGTCTTTGACTAAAATTTGAAACCATTTTCAGAGACCTTAAATATCCTACAAGTAGCCTCACTTTGAATGTTTAACATCTCTGTTAATAGACTTTCTTTACTTTGTGTGCCTAGAGCAATAAAAATTCAAGCAAACAGGATACAGCCTCAATGGTGCCAAAGAAAAGAAAACTCTGCTTTTCAAACACAAGCTTTCACTGGGTCAGAGGTAGGAGGTAGGAGACCAGTGATGGAACGGAAGGGAATGTTTTCATTTACAAGAGAAGAAAATGACCCACAAACTGGGAGGGAAAAATACACAGAACTGGACAAAAAGGGAAAAAGCAATAGACTTTGTACCAAACCCAAATACTGGATTTCAGTGGCTGAGGAACATTTCTTCTTTGATTCAATGCAGAAAAAACATAAGTAAGTGAGTAAATTCCATTTCTGGAATTCATAAGCATAAGGTTAATTGACCAGATTCAACCTAAATCTAGGAACGAAGTCTGGCATCTTATATCCAGTGGAAACCACATATTTTCAAACTCCCAGGATGGAAGTGTGTCACCAGAACCCAAGCTCTGCTGCCTGGTGCCACAAAATCCAAACTCGTGAGACAACTGTTAATGAAGAAGGAATGAGGTTTATTCAAGTCCTAGTCACCTGAGGAGATGGGGGACTTTTGTCCAAAGCCCATCTCAACATCTCAGTGCAGGCAAAGGTTTTTATAAGGAGGGAGAGGGAAAGAAGAACAAAGAAATCAAGGAAAGGGGGTTGAAAAGTTCTCTACTTGCAGACCAGCGCAGTGCATTCTGATAAGGACCTCAAAAGTGGTCCAGTGATGGTCTGGTGTGTGTCACCCTGGACTTCAGCATACTGGTTCTATGTCATCCTGGTTCTACGGTTGAAGGTCAGCAAATCTCCTGGAACTGGGGTGACTTAAGGGCAGAGTCTATATCTTCTGAATTTAGTTCCTAGGATTCTTATGCAAACATGTTCTTTATCTATAAGCTACATATTAGTCAGGGTCGGCATGTACAGAAACAATGTGAAAAGAATGGTGGGGTGGGTGGCGATCCCCACAGTGACATGTGTGTCCTGCGCGATTGTGCAGACCCAACCCAGCAGGGCCATGCTTGGCTGGATGCTTGGCTGTCTCTGTTTGGATAGTCTTAACAATTTTTAACAAGGGTCCCCGAGTTTTCATTTTCCACTGGGCCCTACAAATTTCGTAGCTGGTCCTGATCCCAGGCTCTAAGCTTAACAAGTGTTTCCTGACCTACCAGGCAGACTGGTGCTTTTTACCTTAAGCAGCTCTGTATTCGGGACATTCTTCCCTTAGTAACTGTCTTAGTCCACGACGTGTTGTTCTTTTTCTCGCATTTCAATGTTTACTTTTTAGTGAGCTCACCGAAGTTAAGAATAACTACAGCCTTTCCATCTTCAAGTTCCTAGCTCATGGCAGAGTAGCTATACTGAGCTATCACTTATTAGTTGTATGAATAAATGAATGAGTCAACAAATGAACAAACTATTTATATATAATGGTACGTTTCTAAAATGATAAAATACTGTCTTGGACACCTTTGGCATCCAAGAATAATAGGTTTTACTTAGGCACAGAATCAAATTTGAGTCCTAAAGACTCTTCAGTTCATTAAATCAAAGGACCAAATGTGGGACATTGAATCAGATAGTGACATCATGTGACAGCAATGTGGTTAGACACTGCCCAAGTGGGTGGACATTCCTTAACACCCTGCATTTATTTTTACTTTTTTTAATCCTTACCCGAGGATATTTTTTCCATCACTTTTTCAGAGAGAGTGGGAGGGAGAGCGAGAGAGAGAGAAACATCGATGTGAGGGAGACACATCAATTGGTTTCCTCCTGCAGGCACCCCAGCTGGAGCCAAGGATTAAGTCTGCAACGGAGGTGCACACGCTTGGCTGGAATCGAACCTAGGACCCTCTGGTCTGCGAGCCAGCGCTCTAACCACCGAGCCAAACTGGCCAGGGCTCAACACACCACGGTTAGAAAGTGATCTCAGAAGGCCCAGTGCTCCTTAAGAAGCATCTCATGAGTGCGTGGTACAGGGTAGTGACGAGAAAAGCAGGCCTCCAAGGAGTGCGGGGCCCTGGGTTTAAACCCTGGCTTTGCCACTTCCTAAGTAGGTGAGTGTGAGCAAGCCATTTAACAGGTTGTGCCTCTGTTTCACCTATGACGTAGGGATGTCCCTAGAACCGGCTCGGGCGGCTGCTGGTTTCGTGAGACAGTCCTGTGAAGTCCTGATGCTTGAATCGTGGCCACAGACCAACATGGGCTTCGTGGGGACTGGTTAGAGGTACAGACTCTCAGGACACGGCCTGGGGTGACTAAATTAGCATCTGCACTTAAACAAGGGCCCAAGGCGATTCCTGTGCCAGTACAGTTTGAGGAGCACGTCCAGCAGTGGCCTGTGATGGTGCCCGGTCCAGAACTGTTAGCTTTCATAGCTACTTAACCTTTTCAACTTTCATAATCGCAGAGCACCCGAATGAAAATCAAGTTCCTGGCTAAATGCTAAGAGTAATGAGGACCTAAGTCCCTCTCATGAGCCCGGAATGACTGGCATAGACAATCAGTGCTGCAGGGATTTGGCTCAGGAAGGGGGAGTGGGCCGGGATAGCTGCTGGGAAGCTGGGACTTACAGGCCACAGGACGCAGGCAGGCGGAGCGGAGCAGGGAGGGGACATCTCACGCAGGGCAACACTGAGAGCCAAGGCCCAACGGCCAGAAATGATTCTGACGATCTCCAGGTACAGGGAATAGGTTAGTTTAGCCCCAGACTAAGGGTACGTACGACGGGACTGTCACCAGTTTGTTATCAGGCATCTGTTTTATTGGGCATGGTCCTTGAACGGAAACGCTCATTCCGAGGTCAAAACCAGAAATCGTGCTAAGAATATAGCACAGCATGCCCATAAGATCATTAATTCAGCTGTTTTCTATTCTCTAGTTGATACATTTGGAAGTTAATTTATTCTTATTTTTCTTCCCCACAGGGTTGCCACTCCATTTGGAGGCTTTGAAAAAGCATCGAAAATGGTTAAATTCAAGGTTCCAGATTTTGAGCTACTGCTTCTAACAGATTCCAGGTTCATGGCCTTTGCCAACCCTCTTTCTGGCAGACGGTCCTTCAACAGGACTCCCAAGGGGTGGCTTTCTGAGAACATCCCCATCGTGATCACGACCGAGCCCGCAGAGGACGCCGCGGTCCCCGAGTCGGAAGACCTGTGAGGGCACCGCCTCGGCCCGGCGCCTGCTCGCTGATTTCCCACCGGCAGGGCCGCTCGCTTCCTCGAGCGGTAACTGATAGCAGCTTAGCAGTTTCCTTCCATGGCCTTTAACTCCCACCTCAGGTCAAATACTAATAAACCGCTCACAGTCTTGTTTTAAAACTTCTTCTCGCCTGTCCTTCTTCCTCACTTTGTTCGCACTTGGTCTCAACCACCCCGCCGTTTCCCTGAGAGCCCAGACCAGACACCTCGGGGCGCACCCTCCTTCCAGGCGCTGCTCCCCAACAAGCTTTCCAAGCGGCATCTAGAATGAAAGCAAGTCCAGACATTTAGGCCCATCCGTGTTCTGTTTAAGGGAGGAGAGCTGTGCGAGGCCATGGACGCGCATCGACAGAAGAGGGCTGGGTTGGGCCCCTCCAGGTGACCGGGACAAATAGCGTGGCTGCCCAAGTCCTTCCATGAGACCTTCCTACCGTTTCTAAAGGGCTTTGTCTTCCGCGCTGCGTCAGTGGGAAATCCCTCCAGACGTTCCCCAGGGCCCGCTGGGCTGTGAGAGTCCCTCGCATTCCGTCAGGGAGACTGAGGCATGACTCAGGGGACGTCTTGCTACCTAGTTTCAAAGGCCAAAGTCACCTGAAATTCAAGTTCCTCACCCCTGCTCTGTGCTGATGAGGTTCACCTTTTTGCATACATTTTTAGAAGAGTAAAGTCAAATAAAATACACACTAATAGACATATAAATATAGGGTGTCCCCCCGAAATGTCTACACACTTTAACAGCTGATCACTCACTTAATTTTGAAAATGAACTGTATGTTAACAAACAGACTTTTTAATCACTCAGTGTATATACATACTTTGGGGGACACCATGTATATGTATATGTATATGTATATGTATATGTATATGTATATGTACATGTACATGTACATGTGTATGTATATGATATGTATATGTATATGTATATGTACATGTACATGTACATGAGAGAGGGAGCGAGAAATTTGAATTNATGTATATGTATATGTATATGTATATGTATATGTATATGTATATGTATATGTACATGTACATGTGTATGTATATGATATGTATATGTATATGTATATGTACATGTACATGTACATGAGAGAGGGAGCGAGAAATTTGAATTGGCAGCTGTCTTTGATGAATCTTTAAATTCTGCTCAAACCCTTAAGCACTGGGGAGTACATGCTATAAAACAAACAAAAACAAGAAACAGCAGAGCACCAAAACATCCGAAAGCCATGTCGCACACATCCCCCATGAAATGCGTGAGTATACAGAAGACTCAAACCAACAAAGTTCCAGATCTCTCTTAAAATATGACGGAGGACGTATATAACACAGAACTGGTAAAAAATAAGCATCAGTCCTTCCATCTGAATTCAGTGACGAGCTCTGTGATAGATGTTGAAACGCAGAAGAAATGTTCCTTCCACAGAAAACTACCTGCCGGGGAAGGCAGGAGATGGAGGGAATGGGTACGGCAGAGAAGGGAACGTGCCACGTAGCAACACTGCTTATGGCAAAGAGTCCGTGTGCACTGCTGGAACTGGGGGTTGTCTTAATTAGCCAGTGGACTTGTAAGTAGAGAAATTAAAAAACAATTTTTCTTATGAAAAACACAATCCCTAGAACATAATAATATCGATGTGTTGTATTTATACATATCATTGCAAATAATTGGCAATAATTTAAAATATCTCTTTAAGATATTACTTCTATTCATGTTTTGGTGTTTACCTGTTTTAAATATGTTGGCACCTGTGATAAATGCCAGATATGAGGCTCCTATCACACCACTTTTTTGTTCATTTAAATTTTTTAAAGATAAAAATGAATCATATTCTATTAGGCATTTTGCTGAAATGGTTTAGTGTTTTTTGACAGTTTGAAATGAGTTACTAGTTTTCATTAAACTGGAATTTTATTGCATGGTTTTAACTATTTCCAAATGCATCACCAGTCGACCACCCAAGGGGGCCAGCAATTAAATATGTCAGCTCTGGGACAGGACTCCCCAGGCCCATAAGGCAGAATCTAAAAAGGGAGAAGCTAAGTATGGTGTTTGTTTTTTTTAAGAGTGGGTAGAAAATGAAGGAACAACCCTCTGGTCACTATTGTTTTTCTTCCTTTCCTGGAAGAGTCTACTAATTCTAGCTCAGCTGTCTGACACCTTTCGAAATGCCAAAATTTCACACTCCAGTTGCTATGCAATTACAAATTCAAAAGGAATTTTTATTGGTTTCCCATTGACCTAAAAAGTAGCTACCTCTTTCAGAATCTGAAGAGATGATCTTCTACTTAGAACAGCAGGGGCACTGGCATCTCCCGCACCCACATTTGTATACATGAAAAATGGGATAAAGTACTAAGAAACTTAAAAGGAGTAAAGGGATGAAAATATTTGCTGGTGGACTATTAAGTGCCAAGCACTATATTCACCACTTTACAAAAGTTCTGATATACATTTTAATATTATTTTATTTTCACAATTATACTGTGAGGAAGGTATTAAAATATGCTCCACTTTACATAAGAAAATTGAGCCTCAGAGAGCTAAGGTGATTCAATGGATTCTGGCTCAAAATGGGAAGAACCTGGCTCGTCTGACTCTAAAATAGGTTAAGAGCTTGCCCTGGCCAATGTGGCTCAGTGGTTAGAGCGTCAGCCCAAGGACGGAAGGGTCTCGGTTCCATTCCGGTCAAGGGCACATGCCTCTGGGATGTTTCTCTCTCTCTCTCTCTGAAAAGCAATGGAAAAAATATACTCAGGCGAGGGTTAAGAAAAAATATATATATATAAGAACTCATGTTCATCATTTCTCTTCCAGAGTAAAATTCAGCCTTAAACTATTTTATTACATCTAGACAAAACCAAAACAAACAAAAAAAACCTTGATTCTCTTAATTGGGCAAATACGGCTACAAAGTTGTTACTGGAAAGGGGACCTGGCCCTGAGCGGGTCTGCCTGGGCCCAGCCGGTAGTGTGTGGGTTCTTGACTTCATGCAGGAAAAATTTCACAGCAGTCCAGATGACTGAGGGAACATTAATTAAAGCTGGGGCAGTAAACAAGACAGAGCTTAGCAGAAGCAACAGGAGAGCCTAGGCTGGGCTGCCTGGCTCTCTGGGAAGTCAGAGGAAAGGGGGCCTTCGGGTCCGGTTCAGGGGACGGGCCTGCCACTAGCTGCCTCTGCCCATTGCTGCCCTGCTTGCAAGTCTCCTGGGGTCCCTTAGTTTCAGAGATGGGTGCCTGTGGGGAAGAGGCGGGAAAGGGAATGGCTGAGAGGGGAGAGGGGACTACTCCCCAGAGGGAAAGCACTGGCTGAGTCCTTTGTTTTGAGGCTTTGATTTCTCTCTTGCTGGCTGACTCTTAGGGGAGTCTCAGGGGAGGGTCTCAGCAGAATATTCATCAGCTTTCCAGGTGTGCTCCTCCAGGGCCCTGGTTCCCACTGATTGGTCAGCGTCAGGGCAGGGGGTTGTCAGTCACCTCAGCTGGTCCTGGTGTCACCCACCTGGTTTTGCTGCTTTTCTGGGCCTGCAGCTGAAATACAACCGAGGCCTAGATGTTATCTCCAGGGAGGTGACCTGTATCTGCTGTAAACTGCTGTCAGTTTGTTCAGCTGGCTGCCTCAGTTTCCCTGTTCCCCCTGTCCTGGCTCACTGCCCTGTCTGAAAGTGAGGCATTTTAGAGTCACCCTCCCAGGTCATTCAGGCATTCTTAATCATGAAAAGCCGGACTCTCAAATGTGTTGAAAGTGACCTAAATAGAACAAGCAACATGCATGTTTAGTTATGAAATTACAGACACAGGAGCGGGCTCTGATGAAAGCTGCTCACGTCTGCACAGCACTGTGCCCCCTTGCATCAGTGTAGCCTCCCTGCACGGGCCAAGGGCAAGAGGGCAGAGAGGAGAGAGGGCCCCACAGTGAGAACCGTAGGCTGAAGGAAATCACACCAAAAACATTCCTTTAAATGAAAATATTTTCTACTTTCAAAGCTTGAGAGGAAGCTCTCCCAATTCCCATTGTACTGTTCAACAGACTTCTGGGTCATGAAATTACATTTCTTATTTTATTTAACCAATTTCTTGATGATCAGCTGGCCAACTGTTCTCTTGACAACTAGAGCTCCATGGATAACTAGAACTCTGGTGGAAAAAGATCCTTCTTGGCTTGTAACTAACTCTCCACTCCCTGCAATCATCTCACTTTCCATTCCTTAATATTTGAAAGAACTCGATAATAAAAAATAACTAATTATTGATTATTGCAAGATCAAGTGCGAATACGGACAATAATATTTTAGTCAAAATGACCATCTGTTACACCCACTTAAAGTTTTTACATTTTCTAAATGGACACACTTCTAAGCCCGTAGCAGCCTGGACACGGAGGGAGCTAATTATCCTCACGAGGCTACTGTGGAGCAGTGTCCAGTGAGCGTGGCAGGAACACAGTGCACTTTCCAGCTCTGGGGAGGGCTGTGCCAGCAGACTTGTTAATTCTGGAATTTCCTTGCTCTGCTGCTGATGCGAAATAAAACGTACCTGACATCACTGCGGCTCTCAGCCTCAGCTGCTTTTCATTAAGCTCAGGAAAGTATTGCTTCAAATGCCCCTTTTCTTATGAAAGATGCTCCCGACCTCCACATGCTCTATTCTGTGGAAAGAGGGCAGCTCAGTTCTGTGGAAGGTGGAGGGCTGGCTCTCGCCCAAAGAGCAGGGGCATCTATTCCAAACTAACGGATCGCAGCACTTGGCAAATGCTCTGAGGGATTTGTGGAAAATTATAATGCTTTAGAAGGTGAAACTTCTCAGAACTAAGAAAGAAGCAAAATTGTCTCAGGGCCTCAAAGGCCTATGCTAAAGTATTATTAGATAAACAAAAGGGTGTGTCCTTACTGAAATTCCTGAAGTAGAAGAGCTAGATTTCAACCCTGGATATGAACTCCCCCTGACTTCTCAACGCAACATGATTTCAGTAGGAAGACTTGGTACCTGCGGGCAGAGAGAGGGGGGAAAAGCTACTTCTAAGGGATTACAGTTCGGATCCAAAAGAATGCGTGTGTTTTTGAGTACTGTGTGGTGCTCCGAAACACGTTTCAGTGACAGCTTACACCGCGTTGGAGACGGAGATGGTGCAGGAAACAGGACCGGAAAAGTCGGAAAAAGATAAATTCACTGTCATACCCTATTTTAAAACTGCTGATAGGAGAATTAGTTTAGAAGCTGCAGCACCAGCAAAATGAATATAACAGAAGAGGGAAAGGAATGTGAGTGAAGCAGCCAAGGGGGGTGCAGGCCACTGCGCAGAAGGCTGCTCAGCGTGTCCTGTGGCCTCTGGCCTCGCCCTTAGGAGTCCTCTTCACATAAGTGCAGGTGTCTGACGTGAGCTGTCACCCAAATTATACTCTCCTCACACTTTATCATAACTCACAAACGCATATGAAAGCAGCGTGTTTAAAGGTGCCAGCCAGCTACTGATCTGCCACAAATCAGTGACATCATCTTAAGCAATTTACGTCACTCTAAAAGTCGGAGTTTTCTCCAGCTCTATTTATGTGGCTCAAATGCCACCTCAGCCTGAAACCTTCCCTGACCACCCTTATTTAAGAGATCCCACTGCTACCCCCTTATCACATTTTTATGTTTCTTGATAGCACTTATGACTCCATAAAATAGTGTTATTCCGGCCTGGGTCTTCCGAGAAGCAGATGCCAAGGTGGGGTTAAACCGCAAGAATTTTATTAGGAAAACTGCCCACACGAGAGAAAGTGAGGAGACTCGAGAGACCACCCGTGGGCGTGTTCTAGACATGGGCATGTTCTAGCCCACTGAGCCTTCCAGGGAGGATTCGTCAAGGCCACTGGGGGGTCCTTGAGCCAAAGTCAGCTGCAGGAGCAGTCCCATGTTTTCCAGCAACAGGTCTGCCATAATGTCACTGTCACGGCCGTCACTGGCCCAGCCTTCAGAACTGCGAGAAATAAATGTCTGTTGTTTATCGGAGATGCACAGCAACACAGAAAAATTTTCATGTTGTCAGATGCATGTATGTATAAATGTATCAATTGTGGTTAATATCAGAATTATGAGACTGTATTAGACTATCCCATTTGTATGTTTCCATACTCTGATGTTTACCTAAGCGTCTGCTGTTAGCACAGGGAAAGGATATTAATATTTTTGATATAATAGTAATGAGCAAAGATCAGCTACTGTTTTGCCAAATACAACTCACATATACTAACAGCGTAATGAAACACTGTGGCTTTATTTATTTATTTAAATATATCGTTATTGATTTCAGACAGAGGAACAGAGAGGGGGAGAGAGAGGTAGAAACATCAATGATGAGAGTCATTGATCGAGCCCACAACCTGGGCATGTGCCCTGACCGGGAATCGAACCCTGATCGCCTGGATCCTAGGTCCATGCTCAACCGCTGAGCCACACCCGGCCGGGCAACACTGTGGCTTTAAATAAACAACCATTTGCTTAGAATCGAAGAACTAGAATTAGACAGTTTTAAAACATTCTGCATCAATTCCCTCACTTACAGAACCGAAACTTAGGGGAGTTAAGAACCTGGCCCAATCTCAGGCTGCATGTCTCAAATTAGGACCCAGGAATCCCGCTTCCGATCTCACCGGCCCGTCTCCTGCCTCAGCGACCGCATTGCCCCCGGGGCCCCATCCACACAGCCCCAGGGGACACACGGGAAGTGGTTTCACACGACTAACACCTGCCTGGGTACCACCTTACGTAACCTGTACACCTTACTTGCTAACATGGAGAACGGAGACTGAATAAAGGAAAGGGTAATGTTAGTAAAACGTGGAGCCTTTTTTTACAATGCTAGGAGTTTTACTTCCATCAGTAAAAAACTGTTAGTGTGACAACATCAAACCAAAATGCATACTCTTTTCAGGAGGAAGGGAGCACACTTCCAGGGTGCTGAAGGAGAGTGAACATCGCTCCCTCCAGGAAGATCCTCTGCTGGGTCCTTCAAACCCTAGCTGTGTTCTGCTAAGGCGTCTAGAAGCCAGTTGGGCTGTTTTGTGATCAGCTGCTTTTCAGATGACAGAGAATAAAGTAAAATATCAGAGCACACCGCTCACAGCAAAGGTGCTGCTTCATGAGCTTTCAATTTGTTTTCTGTCACACGGTGAAGGTCAAACCGTAAAGCACGCTGCTCCCTCTGGGCTGAAAGCTACTGACCCGCCTGCTGCTGGCTGCTATTTGAAAGTAAACTGTTAGCGTTGTTTGTAGCGACTGAAATGGCTTCTCTCCGTCTCATTAACTACTCTAACTAATTTGATAAGGAGAGTTCTCCTGAATTAAACAAATTTGAAACAGCAGAGCGAAACTTGTACAAAACAATTTAATCAGAAAACTTGGATTGGTAAGTGCACAAGAAGGCTTCACATATGTCCCGGGGATACTGTTTGCCAAAGTTTGTTTTTTCCTCAGTGCAATTTCAGGTTTAGAGCTTGTTTCACAGATAAGAGAAAGAGAAATGAACTCAGTGCTCCGGAGTGTCTGCCTTCATACACATCTATAATTCTCTGAGTATTTCTACCACTGAATCCTTTCCAACAGTTTTATTGCTCTATTTCCCTCTTTTCTTTTGAGTGTGAAGTGAATTTCAACAAGGAAGTTCAACTTGAAAACAGTGCTGGCCTGAATATTTCTGTCACCTTTACAAAGACGTGTGCTCTCCGGGCAGCTTCCTCTGGCCGGGCTCAGGGCCTCGGCCAGGGCCCCCGAGCAAAGGCCACGGTGTTATTTCCCGACTCTGTTCTCAAAGGGCTGCTCCAAAAGCAGGCCAGCCGGGAGGCGGCGGTGCGGGCGAACGCGTGTGCCTGGCCTGTCCCAGGGGCTCGGATCGGTCGGGTTCCCCGGGGGGTGGTGAGGGGAAAACAATTTGGGTAAATTTCCAAACACCTCTGTGTTTTTCATCAGGTCGGAGCCCCGCCCTGGCCATCCCGATTCAGACAGCGCCAGTGTGCCCTGTGCAGAGCTGCTGACTTCCTCACGCTGAGCTCCCGACGCTGAAGGTGTCCACGGCCAGCACCCCACGGAGGGGATCCCACTGCGCTGGAAGCAACAGCACGGCTGCTATGGGACCTCAGAGCGCGTCAGGGACACTATCTGACGCCAGGCCACCCCGAGGGTCAGGAACCCGCCCGCAGTCCTGGTTGAGCCGCGTCCAGCGTGAGCTTGGGTAGCTTGGCCTCCCGCAGCTTCACTTACCCGGCTGTACAGGGAGAGGGGTTTTCACAAACTAGTCTCTGAGGTTCCATCCCTCCCGTTCTAAAGAATCTTCTATATAAAATATGCTATAAAATTTGTTTTGTAAAAAATTAAAGAGATATTTATGTACAAAAATCTTGGTGGGTGGCTTACTGACAAAATCTCTAGATGTCAGCAGAGCCCACACGGCCTTTCCTCACGTCCACTAACCGAATTCCCATGGCGGTGCCAGGCGGCACATTCGACTGACGGGGCCTTTCCTTCCGGCCATTCAGCTTATGGTTACTGCCTGCCGGCCAGGAGCGGTGCTAGGTACCTCCCTTTCACTGTCTCTAAAATAAGGACATTAGTAAGAGCCAAGTATTAATATTTTAGGGTTGTTTGGGAAGTCATATAAAATAAACTGCATTAGGCCCTTAGTTCCTGACACATATTTTGGGGTTTAAATGACGACTGGGAATAGAAATGAAGGGGTGTGTCCCCAGTCGTTACTTAATTAGCTTTTAGAAGCCTGTCGTCCAATCCTTTCATTTCTGGACTAGGAAAGAGAGGTTAGAAGGGGGAAGTCGCCAGCCCACAGCCACACGGCTACTTGTTAAGACTCCCACAGTTCTCCCTGCAGTGCTCTTTCTATCACATCCTAATACGTCAGGTTGCTGCTGAACACAAGCAATTCCACGACCTGTTCTTTTCACCCTTTCTCTCAGATTACAAACATTGCCAGAAAACTTTTTTAAAAACTCTGCCCATAAATGCCCACATGGGGTTGGCAACCCTACTCATCCTGTGAACAGCCACCCAGTGGGGGATCAGCTAGGACCCCTCAGCTACGTGCAGACGAAGACACTGAGGTTTACACAAGTCAGTAACTACTCAGGGCCGCACGAAATCTAAACGGTAAGGTCAGGATCTGAACCTGGCTCCGTCCGGGTCTAAAGGTGTGGGGTTTTTACGACACCATGCTGTCCTTGGACATGGCTCTTGAATCCAGCCCTCTTCAGCATCTTCCTCAGCGATGTAGCTGAAAACAAAACAGATGCTAATTTGGCAACACAGAACTCCAGGAAGAGCGTGACTCTTACGAGAGGTGCTCAAAACTTCCAGACCTCACAGGGTTGGAAAGAAAGGAAAGAAACAGATGATGAAGTTGCTGGTGTTCTGAGGCAGTATAAGCATTCGTGTCTAAAAAACAAACGACATTATGATCTGGGGAAGCTGGCTTAATAAGAATTCATAAAAACACAGTCATTAAATAAAAAATTCAGTACGTTGAACATAAACTTATATTGGCTAACAAAGTGAAATAGCTGCAAAATAAGTTAAAACAATCTTAAACTGTCCCGATAAACACACAGAACCAAGAGAGAATATGATTTCCCCAAACCATAAACCGGGCTAATTGTAAAAACCTGGTTTTATTTTTGGATGCCACATTTTTCCAAAGTTGATAACAAAGGTGCATAGTGAATTCAGCGTGTCCCGGAGAGTGTATGACTTGTTGACGAGTTCACTGTCAGTGAACACAGATAAGAGCCTCCTTAGATGAAGGCCCACATGGGGGAAACAGCGTTTTAGGTGATGACAGAAAAATGCTTTCCTGTTACTGACGACTTAAATATCACAGCCACTTTTGATTTCAGATCAGAGCCAAACAGGGGGAAGCCGCAGGCTCTGCGCACGCCTGTTCTTTTGACGGCATTCTTCACGTTCCACTTGCACTTTAATTTCCTGTAGCTCTGATTCATTTTCTTATTTATATTTGGCCACTGGCTTATATTATATACTAGAATTCACTTTATCTCACGTTACTCTTTTTTTATAATGTGCTTTAATTCCTTTGTAGGATGAAGTGAAGTTGAATCGATTAGTTTAATTTACTAGGCCATCAAAAATTAAAAGAACTGAGTATTTTTAGCTGGAAAACACAAGAGATGTTTTCAAAGTTAAACAGTCTTAGGGAAAAGAGAATATGTACAGATTTCTGTGGCTATAAAGACCAGTGTATGGAAACTATCAGGGGCGTGGATTTAACTCACTGCGATGAAAATTTCTTAATAGTTGAAGAAGCTTAAAGAGGAACAGGCTGCCCCACAAAGCATTGGGTTTTCCACCTGTCACCATCTGTGAACAGAGGTCGAGGATGATCCTCCAGGGATGGAAGCTGGGCCAGATGACATCTAAAGCCTCCTGCATCTCCGAGATTGTAATAAAATACACACCACAGCAAGGAAAACAATATATAGGTTCTTAAAGCATCACATTATCAGTGATGACAACAGTAATAATAAGAACGGCACTAATGGCTGTAATAGCAGAGTGCAGGACTTCCAGTCGCTTCTATCTGGGGCCTTATCAAAAGACGTCAGGTGTAAGTACTGTTTCTCATCCCAGTTTTACAGATAAGAAAATTAGAATGTTTCAAAGTGAAATAACACACGAGGGCAATGAAATCACCTAAGCTGACCGTAAGTCAGCAAAAATAAAGGAGTCCACTGGTTCAGCCCCTGACTGTGGTTAACCAACAGATGTGAACTGGTGCTATGCAATGGATATTGAATTGGATCTTCTGGTGTTTAACAAGATGCCACACTGCCAAGCTCCGAGTCCAGTGAGCACTCAACTCCCCAAGTCCCTATTTTGTAAGAGGATACAGGACCCTCAGGGGCTCTCTCTCCCCCCCACCCCCATATCTATCTGCCTCACTCTTTCAGACCAGTTACTCCATGACAAGGCCCACTGTCACACAGGTCTGAGCTCACATCTTTACAATCAGAGAAAAAAGGGATCTTTCCTGTGCTAATTAGCCTGACCCCTCCCCCCCCCATACCAATCACTGTGGCCAGAAAAGGGTGAAATCCCGCGCTCGGAGTGATGCCCACGCCCTGGTTAAGTGCTCTGGCTCTGTTACTGAAAGCAGGAAAAGACAAAGCAATGCTTGTCCACCAGATATCTTCTCAGTGGAAGGAAATGGAATGCATATTAACCACACTTTCCAAAACATTTTTACCAGCTTTCTTCAGAGGCAGATATATTACATAATTAGGTTTTCTAACTTTCTAAAAGATCACTTCATCAAAAACATTATAATTTATCTCATTTCGGGGTGCTATTCTGCCTTACCTTCCTCCCTCACTGACTTTTCTCCCTCCACAGACAGCAGCTGACTTGGTCCTAATGTTTCTCTACTTCCCGTCTGACCGTGAGAAGCTGCTCGGGTCGAAAGGGTATCTATCCGTGGAGCACACCTGAGCTCTGACAGTGACAGCGGCCGTCCAGGAGCGCCGTCAGTCAAGGCAGCTTCTTTCCAGGTGTCGTCACCCTGTTCTCTCGGTGACTGTACATTTCAACTGCACAGGAAAAAAGGAAAAGAGTAAAAGGTCTTATTGTGAAGTTTCCATTCAGTGACCTACCGTAGATGCTAATCGGGGACTGAGCAGCCCGACTGACTCCTGCCCAGGCCACCGTGTCGGGCTGTACAGACAGAATGACCAACAAGAGAGACGGGCCCTTCTCAGAATTTTCTTCCTAGATAGTAAGAAAGGTAAGCAAGCAAACAAATACGCGAAACAGTCACAGGCTGTGACAAATATGAGATGAATCAACAGGCCACTGCGATAGAGGTTCTGGGATGGCTTTTCTAAGAAGGTGAAGTTAACCCTGGGGTATGGGGGATGAAAAGGAATCGGCCACTTGGAGATGCAGGGGAGGTGTTGCAGGCCAACCTTGGCACGATGGACATTTGGGACCATATAATTCTCTTGTAGGGGCCTGTCTTGTCCACTGTAGCCTGTTTAGCAGCATCCCTGGCCTCTCCCACTGGACACCAGTAGTGACGCCCTCCCCCGACCCTCCTACACACACACAATGGACATGGCAGTGTTTCTGGCCACTGCCAAATGTCCCCTGGGAAACATCACCACCCCTGGTTGACCACCACTGTGCTAGACAGGGAATTAAGAATGCATAGTCTTGAATAGCACGCTGTCAGGGAGCTAAGGACAGATCATTTGGGGTCTGCAGGCCTTGGCAAGAATTTGGATTTTATTTTATATAAATGGTAAGTCATTGAATAATTTTAAGTTGGGGAGTAACATGTCTACATTCAAAATAGACTCCTTTGGCTCCTGTGTGGGAAGTGGATTTAAACCTATGAGGATAAATGAGGTTTTAGGGCAAGGCAACTGGACTAGATTGAAGAGGAGCAGCCAGCGAGGCTGGGGCGAAGCCAGGAGAGGACAGCGTCATGGCCACGGGGAGGGAGCGCGCCAAGGAGGGAGTGGTGCTGGTGACTACATTGTTCCGGTGACCTCATCCTCAAGCCACAGCCTGAAGACTTTTCTGGAACTGCTCTGGTATAGCTCATCTTCTTGCATAGCTATAATTTCCCCTACAAATCTTCTGCATATAATCCCAAACTAATCATTGTGTTCAAGAACACACAAAGGCTTCCTGTCACAGCCTGACATCGGCTTTGTTTATTCCTGTTTCTAAAAATTTGCTCTTGAAGTAGTCAAGTCTCTTCCTCAATGCCCTCAAACCTGCCTCCCCACGAACCCTGCAAGCTGAGGCTCACATCTGATCTCCCGCAGAAGGCCCCCACCCCCAACAGTTCTGGTCCACACAGATGTCTCTAGTCTCCAAAAAATCAATAAAACTTCCAATCCTTCACTCCATCCACTGAACACATACTTGTGAAGCATCCTACTGGGCACTGCGCTATGCCCTGGAGATACAACAATGCAAAAATGCTGGTCTGTGCTCTCCAGGGTCTTAGTAAGGAAATAAAACTTGTCAGCCCTCATTATTTCCTTAATGCATTTAGGAAAACAGGAGTTTGTCTGGTACCTAATCCTGAGTCAGCCATTGAGCTGCTACGCCTCCAGCCCACCCGCTCAGTCCTGGTTTCCCACCCCTTCGGCTGTGGACCACCTCCTGGAGCTCTAGGATCACAGCTCCTCAGGACGCAACACTGCCGTGCCCACTACTCACGGGTGACAGGGTGGGTCAGGCACGAGGCAGCGCATTTCCCAAAGTCTGAGTTATAGTCACTCCAGAGCAGTGTTAACAGGTGTACAAGGGTGATGCCACAGTGATGTAAACTCCGGGCAGGCCTCAGTTGAACACTGAGGCGGTCTTTGGTGCGCCAAGTCTATCCCCTTGTGTGATCTTATCCCAGCGTGAGGTGCAGAGATCCTTCTCCGTAAATTTGGGTTCATCCAAAAAATAACTATTGCGTTAGACACACCCACAGTCCTCAAGGACAAATAATGATTCTCAGAGGCAAGACGTTTAAAACCCATGCTGTGATGTCACCTGTAAAGTTTTCTGGGAATCTTTGTTGTTCCAAATGTTACAACGTAGGTGTCACATGTGTTTTAAAATGCATATTTCTGTCATATGCACGACAATGTCCATTTTCCTTTTCTCCATGTTTGCTTCAGACTGACCTCTTGACACTGAACTTGTGACCTATTACATGTCTTTCACTTAAAACTCAGTACTTAGATATGCCAAGAACCGGCAGGAAGTTTGAAATAATATGATTAAAAATGTGTACAGTCATGGTTTAGTCAAACTCTTGAACAGGCGAACTGCATGGGCAATTCTTCTGTAATCTCCTAATGAGGAAGGCATGAGTCTATGACCCATGGTTCAAATTATTTTTTCAAGAGTGGGGGTGGGGGTTGCTCTGTCAGTTATATTTGCATAGAAATAATTATAGTACAATATCAAGGTTTTAAATCGAAATAAGCTCAAAAACAATGAAGGAAGGGCAAATCCGTCTCAGAAAGTTATGAAAGGTTCCATGGAGGAGACAAGTATTCAACTGAGACCTGAAGAATCTTGAGGGAACCTAGTTGGATCTCACACGAGCCAGGAGCTGAGTACCATCCAGTGTGGAGCACATGGGCAAGAATGTCGATGAGACTAACAGTCTGGGGCCGGATCATGAGGGGCTCTACCAATGATGGGGAGCCCCCGACAAATTCTTGGCAGAAGAACACGGCGGTCATATTTTCATGTTAGAGAGATTATTGGTAGAATGGAGCTGGGCTGCATGGGACAAAACTAGAGGCTACTGGAATAGGCCAAGGGCAGTGAGTCAGCAGAGAGGATGACTACTTGATGGACAGAGACAGGAGAGAGGAGCTTTAAGAGGGGTGGGTGTGACAGATATTTAAGGAGATAAGAGCCAATGGGATGAAACAGAATTGAGGAAATGTGATATAGGCGTACTCATGGATTTCTGACCTGGGCAACTGGGCACCATTATGGGCAACAGGGAATGAAATGGGCTGGGTTCCGGATGGGTGGGGTAAGCAGGGAATGGCAGATGCCAGAGTCAACGTGGGGCACCTTTAGGGCAACTGTGTGCAGCCCAGTGACGACGCTGTTGCTTAAAGGGGTCTAAACTGAAGACACACGCGTGGGAGTCCTTGGTGCAGGACCCTGGTAGGTAAGTCCAGGATGGGCAAGAGCTGCTCAAGGAGACAAGGGGAAGGTTAAGCAGCAACAAAAAGGGGGCCTTGGGGACACAGAGGGCAGGCCAGGGAAGAACACTTAACGCGCACCAGGCGGGCAGCCCCGCGCGCAGTTCCCGCCTCCGGAAAGATGCTCAGGCACTGAGGAAGCAAGAGGGCTTAATGGTGGTATTATTAGTTTTTACATGTAGTCTTTTTAAAGTTCCCTCCAAAAGTTTTAAATTTTTTAAAGTCAGGAACCATTCTTAAACTTCGCTCAAGCTCCTCCAGCGCGCACTTCAGGGGGGAAACGGGGAGCGCGCGTCCCGTTCAGGGGAGCACGCCTCGCCCAGCCTGCTAGTTCTTCAGATGCCCCTGGCGTTTCCACGGGGTCGCCTCCAGCCGGTTACAGCCTGCGGGTCCCACCGCGCCGCGGTGCAGTGAGTCCCACACTCCGCGCGATGCTAACGACGGCCGCGGCGCTTCCTACCCACGACCCCTGAAAACGCCGTCGCGACACCAGGCAGCGCGGTGCGGGGCGGCGAGCGCCCTGGAGGCGGCGCGGGGGCGCCCTGCTCTCTCTGCAACCG